TGGAGAGAGAGAAAGCAAGAGAGAGCACGCGTGCGCGCAAGTGCAGTCCTTCCCTGATGATCTTATTTAAGATCTATTCATTCATTCACTCTGCCTCCCTTTTCTTTCTTCCTCTTTTATTCCCTTTCCTCTGTACTTTATTGTTTACCTTATTTCTCTTCAGAACACTGTCTGCATGACAATACAGCGTGTGCATGTTTGAATTGTCTACATCCTCCCTCCCCTCAGCATGCACCCCCATACCCACAGTGTAAATTCTAAGGACAGGGACTTAATTTTTTTGTTAGTTTTATCCTCAAGGTTTAGAACTGTGCTTGGTTGGCATAGTAGATGCTTATTAAAAATATTTTGAGAGATGATTGTGATCATTAAAAGGATAATCAATAAGCCTTTCTCAAAATTTCATGAGGATGAAAAAGAATGGTGAGCTATTGATCTAGTGAGCTAGATTTGTGTGTATATATATTTTTTTCTCTCTTTTAATATTTTGTCTCAGGTAGTGTGTCAGGCTACTGCATGAGTAAGAATTTTTATTTTTGGATTTTGGCATTTTCTTGATAAATCTTTATAGTATGTATTTTATCTACAGTGTAGTATAATTTAAAAATTACTAACATTTATGGATTAGTCATTGAACAGAATATGGTGTCACCTTATAGTTCATATATCTGCACAAATTCCATGAATAAAATTGAACCTAAGGATTATTATGCTTTTTCAGGTTTGTGAGGGATTTACTCTCTAATCCAGTGCTTACCTGCCAAGGGATATCAGCCTATGCTTGAAAACATTCTAATGATGAACTCATTTTCTTTCGGGCAGTTTATTCAGCCTTTGGGAACCTCTGATTATTAAAATAGTCCATCTCTATTTTAAGCCAAAATTTGTTGCTTCCACTTACTGGTTCTAATTATATCCCACGGAGGATATATTGAATAAGTGTAATCCTTCTTTCTTGTGATAACCCTTCAATTACTTGAAACCCTACCATGTTCTTTCAGACGTTTTAATTTTCTAGGCTGAGAATTCCTAGTAAGTGCTCTCATAATGATTCATTTACCATTCTGGTGATTTTCTGAAAATCTGAGTTTATTGCTATGTTTATAAAAGGTAGCAACCTGCAACTGAAAGCAGTGACAGTCCTCACTGCATAGGAGAGCTTTTGATTTCTGTTTTATTCATCTTCATGATTTAAGTTTTTCCTCAACTTTTTCATGCTTTAATCTTTTGACTTACTAAGACACGTGCTCCTCCTCTATTCTACATTCCACAAGTGTCTTGTGCTTTCCCTGTTCCCTCCCCCCGAAACCCCCCAGTACACACCCAGAAGGGTTCCTGTGGTTGGAGCACTCTATGATCAGAATCATGCTTTATTAGCAGATTAAGTTTTTGCTGGGCTAAGAAGTGGACTATAGAATCAATGGGAATTTGGCCTGTTTTTCTAAGGTAGGAATAAACATGTCACTCTTAGTATTATTTCTTCATCCTTAAACATTTTCAAAATATATATTTTTTTTCTATCTCCTTGATCTGAAAGAAGATTTTTGTCCTTCTTTTACACATTTTCAGAATGCTAGCTATATAGCAGAGGGCATAGTGTAGTTCTGACAAGATATGTACCTTTTAGATCATATACTTGTTATCAACAGTGGCAACTGGTGTAGTATAAACAATCTTGTTTGCCATAGAGACATTTTCTTTTTTAAAAAACTAGCCCCATATATTCTTTGGTTAGATAATTTTCCATTATTTTTGCATAGCAAGGTAGCATTGTTAGAAGTGAAGATTACTCATGTATTTCATATTAATTGAGACAAATAGAAAAGAGAACAACACGTTTTTACTTTCTGTCCCTGATCCAACATTTTGGTATATTGTTTAATTTCTCTGGGTCAAATTATTTTTTACTCACATATAGTTTACAAGTATATGATTTTTTTTAAAGATATCAAAGTAAAAATGATCTCACTGGACTTTAAAAAATTGCCTCCCAAATGCAAACTTACCTGTGTTACTGTTAAATGTAAAATTACAAACCTTGCTTCTACCATACAATTTGCAGTCTAATATTTTAAAAAGTAATCTGCCTTTCAGACTGTTGGAAATGTTTAAAATTTATGTATTGGGTAGTTGAGTTTTGGTTATTGTTGCTTTTATTGTTTTTTTCCAATTCTTTTTGAATTAAATTACAGCATTTGAACAATGTAGAGACTGTGTTTGTTAATAATAGTTGCAATAAGATGCATAGTGTCTACTGTCATTAACACAGTGATAGTATTTCCTATCAGTGATTTTCCCGTAAACTGAAATATGTTTAGCTTGATGTCTGGGCAGGTTAGTTGCTAGTTGGATGTGGTTATTCACTTTAAGAATTAAGTATTGTTTCGTGGTCTCTCAGGCAATATGACCAGATTGCCAGATAAAATTACTTCTGTAGTTATATCATTAGGTTATTGTTCCATTTCTCCATGACTATTTCATCACAAAGTATTTCCTCGCTCAATATGATAAAACATGAAAACATTTGAATCTAAGATATTACCATCATTTTGTCTCTTTAAAAAATTGTTATAAGTAAGTATATTGAAGTTAATTTCAAAGAAAATTTAAAAATTCTCATGTCATTCTGAAATGGATTTTTCTTGTTTAAGTTATAACACACTTCAAGTCTTTGTAAATAATGGAAGTAGATGTATGAGAAAAGTTGGTTTACTATTACTGAGTAACAGATTACCCTGAAATTTCGTAGCACACTAGACATTGATCATTTTTCACTAGGAATAATCAGGTGGATTAGGGAGTTGGTGGCTATAACTAGGTGTTTTTACCAATAAATTGGAAATCTGGTTACTATGGTGCAGTTCATTGTAATAGCAGTGGTTAAGAGTGTGGACTTTGGAGTAAGAAATTTAGGTTTAAATTTGGTTCTGTTATTACCTTTCATGAGGTTTTGGGTGGTTCATTTAGATTTTTTTTTGAGTTGCAGCTTTTTCATCAGTGAAATGAGTTGTAGTATGTAAAGTATGGAGTGCAGTTCATGGCACAAGTTAGGTGTTCAGGATTAGTTATAGCTGTTATTTTACGTAATATTTTCCCTAAATGTTAAGTGATCTTTAGTTAAGTAATTTTAGTTTTGTTGAAAAACAGATTATTTGCTTTTTTGTATTGAATCGACATATTTCAGGCATGAAATCTTCTGCCCCTGTTCCTCCCTCCCTCACTTAGTTTCCACTCCCCTCCCCGCCAATAAGTATGCATAGTTACTTGGTCATATTTCCACATATTTAGGAGCCGATTCGCTGCTCCTAATTCAAATACATAATTTCTTCTTGTACACACAAATGGTAACATACTACTCATTTTTTTCTATTTCGCTTTTTAAGGTTAATACATTGATAAGAACATTTCTCTGTGATATGAAACCTTCCCCATTCTTTTTATGTCCTTTTGCTATATGCCATTCTCTTGTATAGATTTAGTGTTCTTTCTTTTTTCAGCTCTCTGTAAATAAACATTTGCACACTTTTGATTTTACAGTCAGCGTGACAATGAATAACTTGTATATATGTCATTTTGACTATGTAAGTCTAGCTATAACATAAATTTATAGAATTATTATTTTTGGGTCATTTATATTTGTGATCATGGAACTGCAGGAATACTTTTCTGAGGGGCTGCCTGTTTACTCACAGTAGCCATAGTGTGTGAAAACTTTGTTTCCCCATAGTGTTGCCTCCAGAATATATTTTTGTAATTTGCCTGCTTTATAGCCAAAAAATAATAATTCAGTATAGCTGAAATTTTAATTTCTCATGGGTGTAAGGTTGTATTTCTAGTCCTTTAAGATTCACTTTACTTTTTCTGTTCAATATTTATTCACATCCTTTGTCTACCCCCTCTCCCCTTTCTTATTGATTATAGAAATAACATAACAATTTACTTTCTGTGATATGTTAGAGTACTTGAGATTTTTACTCTTATGTCTGTTGACTTTTCTGAAGTTTTTACTTTATTATAATCACATTACTCATGGTATATGGATATCTTTCATAATTTAAAAGGTATTTATTACTCCACAGTTATAGAACTCTTGTAATACATTGATGACTTCATGTTACCATTTTATATTTATTGTGGTATATGGAATAAATTGGATCCAGCTTATTTAAAAAAAATGAAATTGGCTCTATTTTTAATTTCATAGTTCATCTCTTCCTCATTGATCTGGACACCACCTTTATAAAGTCTAAAATTTCTCTATATTTGGGTCTATATCTAGACATTTTTTTTCTGTTGTTAAAATAATAATGTGTATTATTTTTTTTCCCTGCCTGTTTCTGGGGGAGAGGAAGTCTTTTGGTATTTTTGTTACCACACTAATTATATTAGTTTTTGCTGTTTCGATATTGTTTGTACTTTGTTATAACTTTTTTTTTAAGATTTATTTATTTATGCATACAAGAGCTGGCTTACAGGCTAGAGATGTGGGGGCGAGAGGATTCGCCAGAGACAGAGTGGGGAACAGAACAGGCAGACTGACCGAAATACACTGCTGAGAGGAGTGGGGCGTGGAGGGGGGGTGAGACAGGAGAGGTCTTGCTTCGCCATGTGGGTTTCTCCCTGGCAGGCCCCTGATCGAACTCATGTTACAGAGGCTGCAGATTGCTTCATAGTACGGTGCTTAACCCCTTGCACCACCAGGGAGGCCCTGTACTTTGTTATAACTTCTCTTTGTAACAGTAAAACCGGCTGAGTTTTTTATGCTTGTATTAGTATATATTTGGAAGGCTACTGAATGAATGTTGACTACACAGACAATGTAGAGTATATTATTTAAGAGAAAAGAACTTAGCTTTCTTCATTACCTTCCACGAACTGGTTGCTTTTTACATATTTAACTCAGCTATTTATCATACCTATTAAGTCAGTTTATAACTGGAATTCGTAGAAAGTAAAGTTGCTTGTGGCTAAATTTCATTCAGTATTGCTTTTTTCTTCAGCTGTGATGCAGATCCATCAGCCCTAGCAAAATATGTTCTCGCTTTGGTAAAGAAAGACAAAAGTGAAAAAGAGTTAAAGGCATTATGTATTGATCAACTGGACGTGTTTCTTCAGAAAGGTAAGATGTTTGGTTTGAAAATAATAGTTTATTGTAAAATTATTTTAAGTAAAATTTTCTAGAGTATCAAAGGAATCGTCAGATGTAGGCTCTGTTTTACTCTAACAAAGTAGAACAAACAATATTAGTAATGATTATACCCATAGATTATTTATAGTGGAAACATTTTCTTTTATTAACATTCATGTGTTCATTTCTTACACATGCTAATATATTTTTTTAAAAGGTTAAAAACATCACTGAATATTTGCTTGCAGATAGTACTGTTTAAGAAATGTGTAGCACAGTGTTGTTCAACTTTTTTTATTTTGACAGCATATAGATAATAAAATTTGTGTTTGGCACACTAGGTGGGATACATGCAGTCTAGTCATGGTTGACTGATCCAGTGGCTCTGATCATTCTAATCCTCACCACCCTAACATTGACTGTCGCAGCGTTACCATAGGACTTGTGCCATGGCGCACTACTTAGGAAGCTGAGTCTTAGTATAATTTCTGGATTTATAAAAGTTAAGGTATATTTCATCATCTTGTCTGATGTGTGGAAGCAGAGAACTATTATCTTAGTAAATGCCTTTTAATCTGTACTTTTGGATTTTATTTTAGAGACCCAGATATTTGTGGAGAAACTTTTTGATGCTGTGAATACAAAGAGTTACCTACCTCCTCCAGAGCAGCCATCATCCGGAAGCTTAAAGGTAGAATTTTTTCAGCACCAAGAAAAAGATATAAAAAAAGAAGAGGTAAGTATTTGTGTTAAACCTTACATGTTCTTTAAAAAAATGTATAAGGCCCATCCAGTATTTTTTCTTTTTCTTTTTGTCTTATTTCACTGAGCATGATCTCTTCCAGCTCCATCCATGTTGCTGCAAATTGCATGAGTTTATCTTTTTTGATTGCTGAGTAATATTCCATGGTGTATATGTGCCACATCTTCTTGATCCAGTCATCTATTTTGGGGCATTTGGGTTGTTTCCATAGCTGACCTATTGTAAATAGTGCTGCTATAAATAAACATGGGGGTGCCTGGATGGTCTCACTCATAGCAGGAATTTAGAAAACCTAAATAAGGGCCTCCCCAGGTGGTGCAGCGGTTGAGCGTTGGGCTGCAAGGCTGCCCACAGCCTCTGCAGCGCCGGTTTGATCCCCGGCCACAGGCGAGGGTCCCACATGGCACGACAGACCTCTCCTGCCGTGTCTGCTGCTCCCCTCAGCAGTGTATTTCATCGGTCTGCCTGTTCTGTTCCCTGCTCTGACTCTGGTGAATTCTCTCACCCTCCCGCGCTTCTGATTGTACCCACTACTTGTATAAATTAATTAATTAATTAAAAAAAAAAAGAAAACCTAAATAAGGGACCAGGGAAAAGACTAGTTATAATAAAGTAAAAATCAAAATCAACAAGCAACTGTAAACCAGAGACACACTACCAGGGAAGGGGGGAGGGCGGGGGAAGAAGAGTAGGATCAAAACAAGGGGGGTGGGAATTGTATGGGGACAATAATCAAGATGAAAATGTATACATTGTGCAAAAATGAAAAATGATGTAAAAAATATATAAAATAAAAAAATTAAAAGTAAAAAAATGACTCTAAAGCTGCAATAAAAAAATGTATAAGGAATAATTAAAGTGAGTTTTATTTTCTTTGTCTGTGTTGGGAGTTAGCAAGATCACCCACAGGTGAGCATTCAACAGAACTTTGCATACCAGTGACTATGATATTGTGTAACAAAAGGATGTAGAGAAAAAATAAATCAACAAAGGAAAAAGTGTATGGTGCATAGCCTGGGCAAAAAACATGAGCTTCTAGGGGCTGACCCCACTGAGTCATACAGGTTGTACTTAATGAGTAGCGCCAATATATATGGACCAGGGAGCTTATTAGAGACTCAGTCCTCAGGGGTTTTGTTTAGGACTAGACACCTTCTGCCTAGTTTGTACCAAATATCCAGATTAGTAGGGGACGATGGGTGTTTAGCATAAATTGTACTGTTCATACAGACAATTCAGCTGTAGTGAACTACTTTGGGAATGATGGGAACCCTGCCAGAAATGAAAATTCACATATGCCAGCCAAGGACCTATCTTGTAAGCAGGCCTTTTAGAGCTGCTTTTTCCTTTTTTCTGTATAGTACCATATATGATGTGTAACCTTATCTATGTTGTTTGAAAATAATCAATTTGATACATCTGTATCATTCATGCACCATGGAGATCTATCACACAACTACACTCTTTAATCATATGATAATTCATATCTTCTCTGTTTAATGTCTAAAGATTGTTAATTCCAGCAAAAATAATTGACAAGTTACGCTGTTATATTTTTTCAGTTAACCTAGTTTTAGGTGAAAATAATTCTTGGTTAAAAGTCTGGCTTTATCAGTCATTGCTTTGTGACTTTGAAAACATTACTGTCCTGAGCCCTAGTTAACTCAATTCTGAAATGGAAATATAATGAGGCTGTTGAGGAATAATAAAGTAATATCTATAAAGCATTTGGCAGAGTATGTGGCATGTTCTCAAATAGTAATTGCTGTTACGAGTGAAATATTGTTGTGTGTTGGGAGATACGATGTGAGCTTTTGTTTTTCTCCCTCATATTCTGTTATTTTCCAGATTATATAAGTAATATATATTTCTTATATGTAAATAATGCATATTATTCTCAAATACATTTCTGTATAGCTGTACGTGTGTACACATGTGTGTGTGTGTGTATGTACATATATATATAGTTGTGGGGACTTACATAAGCACATAAATGCCCCCATTTCTTCTACCTGCACAGGAAGTTAAGAAATAATTTTGTAATTGTGTATTTTGTACCTGTCTAGATAGAGGTTCTATTAGTAAAGAAAAAAAGAATAATAGATATTGTGTTGACAATTGTTGTGCAAAAGATATACATTTTTTTTAAGTTTTGCCCAACAATGAAAGTTTTGGTTGACTCTAGATTTCTGTTATTCCAAATTAGGTTTTAATTCTTGAAAAATCTTTAGTAAATCACTGGCTCTTGGTTTCAGAAACAGTAAGAAATTTCCACCCCTCCACAAGTTAGCTACAAAGTTTCAGTCTATCTGTTAATACAATGAATGTTCATCACAGGTTTTTTTTTTTACAAATTGAAAGATACTTACCTCTGATCTTTTGTAACTGCCAACAATGTCAGTTAACAATCTCGATTTAAAATGCTATTGGAATAGCATTGAATCTGTATATTGCTTTTGGTAGGATGGCCATTTTAATAATGTTTATTCTCCCAATCCAAATTTCAATGTCATTCTTCAAAGAAATAGAACAATTATTGATGAAATTCATATGGAATCACAAAAAATCCCGAATAGCCAAAGCTCTCCTGAAAAAAAAAAGAAGGGAATGGAGGCATCACACTCCCAGACTTCAAACTCTACTACAAAGCCATAATCATCAAAACTGCATGGTATTGGAACAAGAACAGACATACAGACCAATGGAATCGAATAGAAAATCCAGAAATAAACCCACAGGTTTATGGTCAACTAATATTTGACAAAGGAGCAAAGACTATGCATTGGAGCAAAGAAAGTTTGTTCAATAAATGGTGCTGGGAAAACTGGGTCGCTACATGCAAAAGAATGAAGCTTGACCACTACCTCACACCATATACAAAAATCAACTCAAAATGGATTAAAGAACTAGACATAAGACCTGAAACCATAAAATACATAGAAGGAAATATAGGCGAAACACTACGTGATCTGCATATCAAAGACATCTTTACAGACACTTCACCCAAAGCAGTGATAGTGAAGGCAAAGATAAACAGCTGGGACTACATCAAATTAAAGAGCTTCTGCACAGCAAAAGAGACAATAACAAAAACAAAGAGAAACCCCACCAACTGGGAGAAAATTTTTGCACACAACACTAATGATAAAGGACTGATCACAAAAATCTGCAAAGAGCTGATGAGACTCAACAACAACAAAGAAAATAATCCAGTCAAGAAATGGACAGAGGAGCTAAAAAGAAACTTCTCTGAAGAGGAAATGCGAATGGCCAACAGGCATATGAAAAAATGTTCAACATCACTTGCAATCAGGGAAATGCAAATCAAAACTACCATGAGATACCATCTTACACCAGTGAGAATGGCACATATTAAAAAAACTAGCAACAACAAATGTTGGCGAGGTTGTGGAGAAAAAGGAACTCTTCTGCACTGTTGGTGGGAGTGCAAACTGGTCCAACCACTATGGAGAGCTGTGTGGAGATTTCTGGACCTACTAAACATAGAGCTTCCACAGGATCCAGCAATTCCACTCCTAGGTATTTACCCAAAGAACACAGAAACATCAATTCCAAAGAACACCTGCACCCCTATGTTTATAGCAGCACTATTTACAATAGCTAAGCTTTGGAAACAGCCCAAATGCCCAAAAATAGATGACTGGATCAAGAAGATGTGGTACATATATACCATGGAATATTACTCAGCATTCAAAAAAGATAAACACATGCAATTTGCAGCAACATGGATGGCGCTGGAAGGGATCATGCTCAGCGAAATAAGCCAGAAAGAAAAAGAAAAATACCGGATGGTCTCACTCATAGCAGGAATCTAGAAAACTTAAATAAGGGACCAGGAAAATGAATAACTATAAGAAAGTGAAAATCAAAATCAACAAAAACTATGAACCAGAGACACTTTTTGGGGGGTGGGTGGCGGGAGGGGAGGGATTGGGGTCAGAATGGGGGGATTGCAATTGTATGGGGAATATAAAAATAAAATTTATTAATTAAAAAAAAAATGCTATTGGAGGGCCTTCCCAGTGGTGCAGCGGTTGAGCGCTGGGTTGCGAGGCTGCCCGCAGCCTCTGCAGCGCTGGTTTGATCCCCGGCTGCTCCCCGGCCACCGGGTGAGGGTCCCGCATGGCGCCGGACCTCTCCTGCCGCCTGCTGCTCCCCTCAGCGGTGTGCTTCGGTCCTTCTGCCTGCTCTGCTCCCCGCTCTGGCTCTGGTGAATTCTCTCACCCTCCCGCACTTCTGACTGTACCCAGTACTTCTATAAATAAATAAATAAATCTTTAAAAAAAATAAATTGCTATTGGGCTAGTGCTATGAAATATGATGATCTGTCATCATAAGTTACTTGAAAGAATACAAGGGGAAAAGTACATTTGGAGGTTTTATTTGTCGCCGTTTTTTTTTTTTTCGGGGTGGGGGGTGGCGGATGGAAGTTGAAGTAAATGGAGAACAGAAGTAAAGGAAGAAAAAGGCAACTATTAAGAAAAGGTGGTAAAGCAACATTTCTCAGAATTTGGCCTGTTGATAGGATTTCTGTTTAATTTATCATTTAGTGTGAGATACTTTTTTTGTAAGTTGATTTTACAAAATATGAAATAAATAGTAATGGTCTTCTAAGTTATGCCACAAATCCTGAAGGTCATACACAAATGACTAAAACATATCCCTAATTTTCTTTTAAAGGAATTCCTAGCATATTAAGATAGATGTAACTATAAACATCCACAATTTTAGTTATCCTTACAAAAGTTCAACAAGAAGAGAATTCTAATTTTAGGCAAGATGGCAAACTAAAATGAATATGTCTTTTTTTCCCAATCATCTCAAAGTACTGCATGAACTATAACAACAATACAGCAATCATAAAATATTATATAGCTGAGCTTACCAATAATAAGAGAGGTTATCTCCCCTTGCCATAAATCCAAAAATAAGGTAAGATCAAAGTGATTATTGTTTAAATAACTGTGAATACATATTCTACTAGTCACTAGACCCATTAGTCCAACATCTTGGGTTTTAGTCCCTGAAAGCAAAGGTCCAAGATACAGGTCTATATCATGAAGACCCATCTCCCAAGATCAGTGTGCTTAATGTAAGAGTGATTACAAAGTATTGTCCCACAGCTGAGGTACTTAGCAAGGAAGCTCTGACTACAGAAAATAACAGTAATGTGGGATACTTTTGACAATGAAAGGCTCTTACCCAAAGGGATGTTGGAACAATTGGCATAAATCAGATCGTATTTATATGATCTTTAGAGTACCTGCATCAAAATATCTTAGGACTCCCATTAAAAATTTCAAAATCTTGAGCCCTTCCATATTTATAGAAGCCACATGTTCAATATTTCCTGTTTGTTTATCCTCTAAGTCTTTTTTTTCTAGTAATACTCATATTTTATGGAACTAGTATTCTAGGCAGTGTAGCCTGGAGAAATTAGCACTGATCAGTTTCCAGGACTGCCTTCTATTAATTATGCAAAAATAAAGGCACTTGTAAGAGAAAGAATATATAGCTGCTACACTGCTATGAGAACCTGGAGAACTATTTCACTTTGTACATTGTTTTCTCAAATGTCCTCTTTTTCTATGTCTTGGTTTGTTCTGATGCATTTTCTTGTATTCTCAGATATATTTGGTGCCAAACCAAGTCTGTGAAACTAAAACGTGAATGTATGTTGTACTTTTGAAAGAAGGTATAAAATTAGTTTTCCCCTAGTTATATTAAAATGTTTGACATTTGGCTTGAAATGTTTTCTCACAACCGTTATCTAAAATAATAACGTGAGTTTAAACTTTCAACAAACCTCTTTTATAGTTAAACTGTTGTACTTAGAAAATAACTTTATTTTGTTTGAATACTTTTAGAGGGAGACATTTTTAATCCATATTTTGATGTCGGTAAGTCATTGAAATAGTAATGTAAAGACTAACATGCTAAACTTAAACACATTTTTCTTTGTATATTAATTAGATCACAAAGGAGGAAGAGCGAGAAAAGAAGTTTTCTAGAAGGCTAAATCATAGTCCTCCTCAGTCAAGCTCCCGATACAGAGAAAATAGGTGATTTATTGAAACATGTTTAATGTTTAGTCATTGATTATCTTTTACATAGGGTGAAATGATGTCTGCTTTCTTATTAGTCTAGCAAAAGGTGACTTGAGCTTTTTCAAACAAGAATATCTAGACTGAATTTTCACCTTCTAGGAGTGAATTTTAGAACAGTGCTTGGCGCATATGTTAGTTCTTATTTTTATTGCCAATTTCAAATGGCAGAGAAATCTTAGGGTCAGACCATTTTTTTGTCCAAACAGTGCCTTTAATGTGAAGAAATTATTTATCCTGTTAATGCTTTAAAAGCACATAGAATGCAATGCATATGATAAATTCCTAAGACTATAGGTACAAAACAACAAAATGTGTATAAGCAGACATATACAGTTGCCTAAAAGTATAGATGTTTTTGTGTATAAGTCTAAGGATTAAAACTTTAATAAAAGATTTTTTCCCTATAAAGGGGATTTAGAGCACTTACACAGGACATGTTCAGTTTTTCAGTTTCCTAATATTTGTATTCTGATAGACAGTGGGGGGAAAAAAGCATGCTGTTATAAGACTATGATCTTCTTAAAATTTCGTTTTTTCTGTAGCTCCTTAATTATTTACTTAGAAGTGATCTTACAATTCTTTTAGAAGTCGTGATGAGAGGAAAAAGGATGATCGTTCTCGCAAAAGAGATTATGATCGCAACCCTCCTCGAAGAGACTCATACAGAGATCGATACAATAGAAGAAGAGGGCGAAGTCGAAGTTACAGCAGGAGTCGAAGTCGAAGTTGGAGTAAAGAGAGGCTTCGTGACAGGGACAGAGATAGAAGCAGAACTAGAAGCAGAAGCAGAACACGAAGCAGGGGTAAGTAATCTGTGTATGTGTACATTCTGGTTGATAGTCTTTTGTAAAAAAGCTGCATATTTGAGGGTTTACAAACTGTTTGGATTGGTGTCATTTTTTCTACTTGATGTATTTTGTGATCTCTATGAACTTTTATAAAATTCCTTTTAAATTTTTTATTTCTTGCAAATTAAAGCCATGTTGAATTACCACTGCACCACCATCAGAATAAATCAAATTAAAAACACTGAATTATTCAGGATTGGTAAAGATAAAGAAATCTTTGGGAAATACTTTGACAGTATCTTAAAAATATTAAACTTATACCTACCAAATGATCCAGACATTGCCCATTTCTAGGTTTATACCTTCTAGAAATAAAAATATTTCCACACAAAGACTTTTTTTTATATATATATATATATATATGATATGACAGTTTCATTTGTAATAACCAAAACCAGAACCAACTCAAATGTCTATTAATAGGGGAATGAATAAAACAATCATAGTGTACCTATATAATGGATGAAAAGGAAAGAACTGTTGATATTGAGATAAACTATATGCGTTTTAAGGTAATTGTGCAGAGTGTAAGAATTCAGACAAAACTCTGAATTATGTATATAATGTATGTATGTATATAAAATCTAAAAAATATGTATATAAAATCTAAAAAATGCAAATAAATCTATGATGACAAAACAAATTTCCTGGTATGTATGTGTAATAAAGAAGAAAGGATTATTATAGAGGGAAGGAACACAAAGATAGTTTTGGGAATGATAAGTATGTACATTAATTTGATTGTGCTCTTTGGTTTTGCAGTTATATACATCGATCAACATTAATTAAATTGTACATTTTAAATATGTTCAGTTCATATATATGTATCAGTTATACCTAAAAACCATGAAAACACTTTAAAAATTTCATTTTAGATGTTCATATTTACAAGTACATGTAATTTCCAACATAAAATTTTTCTTCCACTATGCATTATTGAAAGAAGGTATTGTAGACAATAAAACAATGAATGAAGCATCTTAACTGAAACTTAGATTTTTGCTACCCTTGCACCCTGTTAGGAAATATTTAGGGCCTGGCTGTTGTCTAAGCCCTGTACTTCTCTTTTTCACTTTTATTTTTACACCTCTGATCTAAGTGCACATTGCTTCACTTAACTAGTTTCTTTAATACCTTTTTTCTTTCCCTGTGACCATGTACAACCCAATTAATTTCTTGTTCATGTTTTATATGAAATCTTTTTCCTTCCTTTGCACATTTACCCTCATCTTCAACAAATACTATTCATAAAAAGACACACTGAGATTTTTAGCTGAGTGACAACTGAATATCTCAGAAAAAATAACTCATGCTTTTATTGTATGATTTTTGTTTTGTGGGCTGAAGTTGTGTGTATTAACATTACAGTGAATAAAATAAAAACATTTTACAGAAATAAAACTCTTAGAAAAAGCTCATTAACCGCAACAATTTTATGGGTGGTTTTATAGTTTAGGTCGTGCAAAAGAAGTAACTTATCTTGGAACATAGTGTATTGATTAGTTTTTGTAAATTTTGAACACTTTCTCTACATTTAGCAAAAACATCACTATTTCTTAGATATGGGTGGGGCCTTTTTAAAAATAGCATATAATTTTATAAGTGATTTCTGTTTTGTTGCAGAAAGGGATCTGGTAAAGCCAAAATATGACCTGGATAGAACAGATCCATTAGAAAACAATTATACTCCAGTCTCTTCGGTACCTAATATTTCATCTGGTCATTATCCTGTACCTACTTTGAGCAGCACTATTACAGTAATTGCTCCTACTCATCATGGTAATAACACTACAGAAAGTTGGTCTGAATTTCATGAAGACCAAGTGGACCATAACTCTTATGTAAGACCACCAATGCCAAAGAAACGGTGTAGAGACTATGATGGTAAGTTTTTTAAATATCTCATGAAATATTGAATTAATACTTTAAGCTGACTAAATACTGTACTTTTAGGTTGCACACAGTTATTCAAAGCCTTAATCTTGTTGGGAATTGTGGTCAATTTTAAGCACTTTATGAATCCCTCAATATTACTAACCCTTTTATTAGTCACCACTGACTATTGAATATCAGTTTAAAGGTAGTGTTTATTTGAATGTTGGCCTTAGTATATTTTGAAATTTTGTAAACAAGAGTGATATCTATTGAGTTATGCTACTGAAACGTTTAGAAGCTCACTTCTTTAGAGATGAATAGTTAATTGATCTTTAAGTAGAAACTAAAAATGTGAATATCATTTATGTAAGAGTTTTATAAATGAAGTGAAAACTATAGTTTTACTGTAAAAAGTTTTGTAGATTGTATTAAAGGTACAGCTAAGTATTCTTAAAGGTTTTAAGTGAAAAATTTAAATAAAAGATATTTCTAAAAATATGTGTGTGTGTACATGTGTATGTGTAAGTTTTATATTATCCTGTTAGCTAGGTATATTTTAATTTGGTAATCTCGTTTTAGTGCATATGTCAGCTCTGTTACTACTTGATAAGTATTTTAAATTACTAGAAATTAGTACGTAGCTCTTGTGATATAGTCAATTATACTTGCCCGGTATTAAAAATATTCCTGTTTTTAAGTATCTTAATTTTGTTGACTTAGAGAAAATGTATATGTTCAGCACTTTCCATATTTCTTCATAACAATTCTACTTCACAGAAAAGGGTTTCTGTATGAGAGGAGATATGTGCCCTTTTGACCATGGAAGTGACCCAGTAGTTGTAGAAGATGTGAATCTTCCTGGAATGCTGCCTTTCCCAGCACAGCCTCCTGTTGTTGAAGGACCACCTCCTCCTGGACTCCCCCCACCTCCACCAATTCTTACACCCCCACCTGTGAATCTGAGACCCCCAGTGCCACCACCAGGCCCATTACCACCCAGTCTACCACCTGTCACAGGTAATAAGTGTTTGTTTTCCTGTACTTATTGTATATTCATTCATAGTCTTTTGAAACATTTAACAGTTTAATGCTTGCTTTTTAAAAAAGTATCAAAAGTAGTAATATAGTTGCCTGCTAAAAACTTAAAAACAAAATACTCCCCTTGGACTATATTCCCACCTATAATAGACTATGGCAGTCTATGGTTTGTGGATTTAGGGTGACCCTGAATTATGCCATGTTGCTGATGAATCCCGGCTGCCTGTAGTCTTTTACAGTTTAAGACAAACCTGTTTTAGAGTATAATAAATGGATATTAGACCCCAGAAAACTGATACATTGTAGTTGTAATAACTTGGTTTTTGTATAGTTTGATAAGTGAAAATATTGTGTTTGGATCTATAATAACTTATTTTATTTGTTTGCTTTCAGATGATATTTCTTATTCTTTGGTTTTGACAGGACCACCACCACCACTTCCTCCTTTGCAGCCATCTGGCATGGATGCTCCCCCAAACTCTGCAACCAGTTCTGTTCCTACTGTAGTAACAACTGGCATTCATCACCAGCCTCCTCCTGCTCCACCCTCTCTTTTTACTGCAGGTGCAGTTTTGGTCCTCTCTATATCATAATTTATCACAGTTTTAGAGCAGAATTTTTTTGACAAAGGATTTTAAAATGTTTAGAAAATTAAATTGTTCTATTTATTTTTCTCATTAAAATTGTATAAAATGTAGGCATGGTGAGTGTACATCAAATATTAAGTTCAGTTAACAATTTTTTAAAAAGCAAAGTTATTATTTTCTTAATGGCATTTTTTATAAAACTAAATTTTCTTTTAAGCTTTTTTTTTTTTAAAATTTATACAGTAGCTGGGGTACAGGCCAGAGGTGCGGGAGGGTGAGAAGATTCACCAGAGACAGAGCGGAGAGCAGAACAGGCAGACTGAGAGAAAACATTGCTGAGGGGAGCAGCGGGTGAGATAGGAGAGGTCTGGCGCGCCATGTGGGAATCTTCCCTGGCCAGCTGGGAATCAAACCTGCACTGCAGAGGCTGCGGACAGCTTCACAGTGCTGCGCTCAACCCGCTGCGCCACCGGGGAGGCCCCTAAATTTTATTTTAATACATTAAAAACTTGTTATATATTAGTAGTATGTTACATAGTTTACCTTTTCTATTAATATAAAAAAATTTATCAATTGGACTATTATAATTGTTTTTTAATTACAGTTTTTGTATTACCAGATACGTATGACACAGATGGCTATAATCCTGAAGCTCCAAGCATAACAAACACTTCCAGACCTATGTATAGACACAGAGTGCATGCACAAAGGCCTAACTTGATAGGACTAACATCAGGGGATATGGATTTGCCACCCAGAGGTAATACTGCTCTTTTATCATATTCATAATATAAAGAGTGGCAAGTTATTTATAAAGATTAGTCAATCATGCATTTATTGGAATTGAGTAAGTGTTTGTACCTTGGATCCTTTGGTGTCTATCATGAGAGAAAAGGTAATGTGTAATGAGAGAAAGGTTCTCTATGTTACATTGGTGACACTATCCTACCATCCAGGAAAAAGATATTTCCCAAAAGTACATATTTTCTATGGTCTGCTGCGCTGTGTAGGTTAGCTCCCTGGCCAGGGATTAAACTCAGGCTCTAGCGCTAAGACTTAACCCCTGGGCCACTAGGGAGTGCCTATTTTCCATTTGGTTTGAAATTTACTGCCCTGGATTGTTTCAGATATATAATTAAAAGCTTATAATATTATCATATAATTTCTATACATTTCCAATAGCCCATAGATGACCTTAATTAAAATTTTTTTTTGTGTTTTTCAGATTTCTAAGGTGGCAGAAAATATGGTCTATAGGTAGGAAGAAGGGCATAGTAGTTCATAAAACTTAGTAGACACATTTGCTAATTATATATCAAGAGGAGTTTTGTTTCTGTGTTTTCAGTGCTTTCAAATTACACTGAAAGAACCTGTTTTTCAGATTTCTAAGGTGGCAGAAAATTTGGTCTATAGGTAGGAAGAAGGGCATAGTAGTTCATAAAACTTAGTAGACACATTTGCTAATTATATATCAAGAGGAGTTTTGTTTCTGTGTTTTCAGTGCTTTCAAATTACACTGAAAGAACCTGAATGGGAGAATATGTGTGAGTTAGAGCAAACACATCATAACTACTAGGGAAAAAACACAGTACAGCCTTTCTTAGTAAACCTTCAGATAAATAACATAATAAAGTTAAAAAAGGATATTGGACAGCTCAGGCACTGTCCAAAGGGGTCAGCCAGACTTGGGAAGAAGGAATAAGGCCAAAAATTCTATTTTAGAACTGGTCCTGTGATACCAGTTGGCAGAGAAACTGCAAATTCCACTGTGAATGTCACCAATGCCAGATACCAGATATTTCCAAGTGGTCTGTTGTGGAGATACAGGATAAGTCAGCATTAGGTAGAGAATAGTAGATAAAGCACATACACACCTTATAATACTTTGGAGAAATGTGGGAAACTTTTGACTGGAACAAGGGAATAATGGAAAGTAAGGTGCACACTAAAGGCATTTGAAGAATTGTAGAAAAAATGATCTTAGGAAAGATGATAGGCAAGTAACAGTGCTAAGTGCAAGATTTTAGTGTACTGGAGAGTTGGCAGCACTTGTGACTAGATTGGATTATAGGATTTATGGGGGTAATGGAGAAGGTGAAATTAAAGACAGCAAGATTTTGTCCTGGAGGAGGAGAAGAGTTTTGGTAGAAAGATAAAAGTTTTGTAAGTGTTTAATGTGCTTTGCCATGGTGCATTTGACTAGAAATGAACAATGGGAGGTAGAATATGGAATGCTGAGTTATGAGAGATAGCTGATCAGAAAATGCCGATTTTGGAGTCATGGGCAGGTAGAAGTTTTGTTTTTTAATCTATCTCTGTTCCAGATCTGTGAGCCTGACTGATTGAAGTTCCAAAAGCTTTTCTCATGAGTTTCTGATACTACACTGTTCCCCTTGAAATCAATTTATCACTAAACATGGTAAAGTCATGGCAATAGATAAAGATGTCTTAGGAAGATTGTGTAGTGTTAGTTTAGGGATCCCAAGTAAATAACCTGAGGAATGTTAACATTGGAGGAATGGCTGGCAAAGGGGAACTTATATAGGGCATTGTGAAAATGAAGCCAGAAAGGTACAGACAACAGCAAGGTGTGGAGAGTTATGAAAATCAAGGAAAGATAATATCTAAGAAGGAGGATGGGTAGGTGGTCGTTAGCTTCAAATGCTCATGAGAGGTCAAGTAAGGAGGACTGAGATGTATTTGCAATCTAAGGCAAAAAGTTATGACACCAGTCACATAAGCATGAGCAAGTTAAATAAGCAGTAGGTGCCGTTTACCTATTTCTAGAGGATTAGTGAGTGAGTGCATGGTAAGAAATCAGAATTAGCAAGTGTAGATATCTCTTGGAAATAACCTGTAAGGCCAGGGAGAAGAGAGAATAATCTAGCTGGAGAGGAAAAAGGTTCTATGAGGTTTCTTTTAAAAATGGAGTGGTTTGAGCTTGTGTAATGATGAATAGAATACCAGTTTACAAGGAATAGTTCAAGATGAAAACAGCAAGGCTCTTTGGTGGCAAAATTGATTGCGGGAGAATCTGGTATCAGAAGCCCAGTTAGGAAGGTGTACACTTGGTTAAACATGATGCAATTTTGTATCAAGGTTGTCAACTGAAAGGAAATGCAGGATAAAGGGATGTTGGCAGAATCTGAAATAAGATTGAGAAAAGGAAGCTTAATTAATACAAATTTTGCAAAAGATGAAAAACTACATTTAAAATAAAATGGCCAAAGACAACCCAGAAATGAGAAATGTAGGCCCAATCTTTAGAGCAGAATTCATGTGTGATAGATTGATACGATCTTCTGCATGGAGATCATTGTTGTGGCCTTGAAAGAGATTGTGTTGAAACAGACCTGAATACACTGGGTTAGTTTGTGTTTAGAAATATGAAAAATATGATTTATACAACCAATTTATCCACTTTTTAAAATTATGTTTTACTATGTGGATCAGGTTTCATCTTTTTAACATTGTTGTCATTTGGAAATTAACAGGTTAAAGTAAAATTCCACCTAAGTAAATGTAAAATGTTGAAAATAGCAGGTATTAACAGTGATTTTGCTGTATTTCAATCTTGGATATTTACCTTTTTAAATCAAATACACTTTTATGATGTTAATTTGTTGATGTTTAAATAAGCAGTTCAATCACAACTCTAGGTTACTCTTTTTTTTAAAAGATTTATTTATTTATGCATACAAGAACTGAGTTGCAGGCCAGAGTGTGGGGAGCAGAACAGGCAGATTGACTGAAAATACACTGCTGAGGGGAGCAGCATATGAGACAGGAGAGATCTGCTGCTCAGTGTGGGTCAGCACCTTGGGCAGTGGCTGCAGACAGCTTCATAGTGCTGTGATTTAATCCCTTGCGCCCCAGGCAAGCCCCCAAGGCTATACTCATTGTCTTAAAGAAAGGTTGCTGAAGTAGTGTTAAATTTTAAATCTTTTATATTATACATTTGATTTTAAAACTTATGAGCCCAGAGTCTCAAGTAATTTATTAGTTATTTCTGTTATTTATTTGTGGTTAGGGTGATAGCAAATGGGAGTAGTGACAGGGGTTTTATGTCTCCTTCGCCCCCCTAAAGTAATGAAGCGTATTTTATTTGGACATATGAGAATACCTGATGACTTTTTACAGTTAGGTGTGAAATGAATTTGAAATAAGCTAAAATCCTTTAGATTATTATCAAATGAACATTTGTTTTTCTTCCAAAAATTATATTTGGACAAAAACAAAGACCCAGAACTTAGGCTCCAATGTGATATTTAAGGTTGTAGCTATGATAAAGAAAATACTAATCTGTGCTTTCTTTTGTTTTCAAACAGAAAAACCTCCTAATAAAAGCAGTATGAGGATAGTAGTGGATTCAGAGTCAAGGAAAAGAACCATTGGTTCTGGGGAGCCTGGAATTCCTACAAAGAAGACTTGGTTTGATAAGTAAGCTGGCAGGGAAAATCGAGGAATTTAATTGGGCAGCGAATTTTAGAATTGTTGCAGTATTATAAAAAAATAGTATTTTCTTCCAACTTAAATTCATACTCTCTTCTCTAGGCAATCTCCACCAAAAGTATTAATTTACATATAATGTTTAAGTTAGGTGTCTGGTACTTGTGTGGTATTTCCATATAGAAATGGTATGTGATTGAAGACACAATTATTTCCTAAATTTTGTCTAAGAAAAGCACCCCTTAATTTACATATGTCATTGAATACTGGTTGTATATAGGATAATCATGAATCCGTCATTAGGGAAGGAAGTATTGGTAGGAGGCTTTAGCATGTGGGTAATTCCTCTTACGAACAAAAAAGTGATCTTTTGCTGGATAGGGGAGGTTTGGATAGATGCTGAAGTGATCAAGGAAGGATTTCAGAAAAAGGGGTAAAGAATCAGAACGTTAATGTATGTGATGATTCATTTATAAAAAATTGCTTGTGTAAAGAGAAACTAGGATCATACTTGTAAAACTTTAGTATCTATTTAATAACGGTTGACTTATAGATCTACCTCTACCTTTAATTCTGTGATGTAGGGCAAGAAGTATAATTTCTCTGGGCCAGAGTTTAGTTCTAGGTTCAAGTATCAAATATACGGTCTGTAGTTCTCACATTTTTAAATTTTGTTTTCCAGTTGGAAAAAAGGTTGGTTCTGTTACTCCTTGCTTTTAAAAGAGAGTACATTTAAGTATACCAGCTTTTGATTTAATGGAACAGAGGTCATATGTACAAATTGAATGAAAGAGGGTGGTAGAACCTTTCCTGCTAAGAATTTTAAGTAGAAGTAGATTAGAAGTGGAAAGTAACAGCTGATAAGGAAAGAACCATTTTCAATTGAACTTCTTGTAAAGCTGACATTATGAATTTGGAAGCTTCATTTCTTGGAAGAAAATTTAAATTTCCTTTATCAACCATTATTGAAAAAAAATGAACTTAAAGTATAAACTATTCTTTTGTACTTGCTAGAGGTCAATGTTTATAAATGAATGTATTGATTAACTTGTTTTTTCGTTACAGACCAAATTTTAATAGAACAAACAGCCCAGGCTTCCAGAAAAAGGTTCAGTTTGGAAATGAGAACACCAAACTTGAGCTTAGAAAAGTTCCTCCAGAATTAAATAATATCAGTAAACTTAATGAGCATTTTAGTCGATTTGGAACCTTGGTTAACTTACAGGTAAGAACCATGAATGATTCTTTTGTCTTTGTTTAGCTATTTTGGGAGAGAAGTTAATGTAATAACTCTTTCATAAGGCAACGTTATGAAAAACTTGGTAATATTCTAATTCAGAAAATTGCGTATGAAATGAAACTATGTTTTAGAAAAATGTGAGCTTTGGAATTAATTTTTATTTTCAAAAGACAGAAGTTTTCACTGATTAGAGTGTTAATTTTTTACCTGATAGCAATTGTCATAGAATCACATCAAGTTAAATAATCATACTGACAAAATATAATCTTATAGTAATTTTCATTGTCTTATTTCTCAAAATCATTTTAGCAGAATGCTTCAATCATTTATTTTTATTTTGTTCTCTGATGAGATTTTTTAAAAAAGATTTATTTATACAAGAACTGGGGGTATAGGTCAGAGGCGCGGGAGGGTGACAGAATTCACCAGAGACAGAGTGGGGAGCAGAACAGGCAGATGTACCGAAGACACTGCTGAGGGGAGCAGCAGGTGAGGCAGGAGAGGTCTGCCACGCCTTGTGGGTTTCTCCCAGGCTGGCCAGGAATCGAACCTGGGCTGCAGAGGCTGCGGACAGCTTCACAGTGTGGTGCTGAACCCTCTGTGCCACCAGGGAGGCCCTCTGATGAGATGTTTTTAGCAAATAGTCTTGAGGCCCAAATTCCGTGTAATCTCTAATTAGTTGAAATACTTACTTTTTCTTCTGCCATTTTTGAGCTTCCTTCAGGATAAATACTGTAATATGTATTTGACCTCACCTAACTTGTGAGAATTTTTCATGTATTGTTTGTATGTTATTAAAAGTGTCAAAATAATGTTGGAATTTCTCTTTTTCAGTTTGTATAACATTCTTTTCAACTAAATTTTTTTTTATAATCTGGTAAAAGTAATTTTAGAGAATACAGCTTAAGTTGCTATTTTAGAAAATTTTGTTGTTTCCTTGCCATTTAAAAAATATAAAAGTAAAAAAATGCATACTTGCTTCAGATGGGGCAGTAAAGATTTATATAGAAGTTAAAGAAAGTGGTTTTAACTTTGTTTCTTATCTTCCTCATATATCTCCATAATATAATTACATTATTGTTAACAATTTGCTATGTGATATTCTAGATTTTTTTTGGAATTCCTATGTGTATCAATCAGTATATCAATACAGAAACTTAAAAATATACATACATTAAAAATATATAGGTCATAGTATACATATATTTTGTAATTGTTTCCTTTGTCTTGAATATCTTGTTGTGGTAATTCACTTTGATGTACCATGTTCACGTCTAGATGTAAAAAAAGTTCTCAGAATATTCTTTTCCTCACACAATTAGCTGTATTGGTAATAGTTTAAAAAATTTAGCTGAGGGACAAAACTTGGTATCTCATATTTCAATTTGCATTTTTTTAGTTCCAGTGAGGTTGACTCATCTCTTTACTAGTCCTTTTGCTGTATCTGCATACTACCTTATCATTATTTATAAAATAGCTATTTTTAAAAATCAATTGTAAAAAGCTTTAGCTTTATCTTACACTTCATAAAATTGATGTTTCAGATTCCACAAATGTTATTTTTAACGTGCTTCCTGAAATCCCTAAAGCTAGTATTTAAAGAATATGTACTGTATACTTTGAATTATTCCCCTGAGTAATTCCCCATGAATTATTTAGTTTTTAACACTATAACGTAGGTATTGATACCCTATCTATGGAATGGGAAATGGATGCACAGAAACTTTAAATAACTTCCTTATGCTCCCTACGTAAGTGTAACAGTCAAGGTTTGAGCCTGGCAATTTGATACAGAGTCTATGTTCTTAATCTCTCCTATGTTACATATCACCAGTGGTTTATATGCCACACTTTGAAAGACACTGCTATTATGGAAAGAACAGAATTGTTGAAGTAAAAAAGCCTTGGCTCCATTACTCATTAGCTTTATGGGTCTACAGAATACCATACTCGTTGAATCTGTTTCCTTATCTGTAAAATGTGATTATTTGCTGTGTTGTGTGAGTCTTTTTTATTTTTTTTATTTTTTGCCTTTAAATTTTCTCATGCCTTAGAAATAATTATGTGAGAATTACGAATTTGGAAAATTTTTATAGGTGAGTTTTTCCTGTAACTTTTAGTTAGAGATCACTCTTCAAAACAGTTTGCTGCCTTTTCTTGATATTTGGATCTTGGCCAAGTCCATTATTGACTTGGGATTATTTCTCATAATCAGTATTAATATTTGGGCTATAAAGAGAATCATTTTGAATGTTTGTATATAGCATTTGTGCAGTCAGCATTCTTTACTAAATATTATAAAGAGGAGGCTTTTGTCAACTTTAAATAATCTGCAGTTAGCATTTCTTATGCATTGAAAATGACTATGGTAATTATCTATAAGGAGGTGTGATGATAGGACTCTTATTTGGAAGGACTGATACCTCACTTCTTGAGGAATTTTACTGTATGAAGCAACAGATTCATTTGGAAATCCACTTTTTTTACTATTTTATATCTAGGTTGCCTATAATGGTGATCCCGAAGGTGCTCTTATCCAATTTGCAACATATGAAGAAGCAAAAAAAGCAATATCTAGTACAGAAGCAGTGCTAAACAATCGCTTTATTAAGGTTTATTGGCACAGAGAAGGAAGCACCCAGCAGTTACAAACTACTGCTCCAAAGGTAAGAGAAATTTATGTGAAATTAAAAGCTTAGAAAGCTCTTAGTGTAGTGTTTCAGCACAGAGGTGTTGCAGTCAAGTAGACTTGAGTTAAGATCCTGGCTCTGCCCAATACTGTGAGCAATATGAAGGAAGCTACCTAACCTCTCTAACCTGTTCTTTTATTTTGTTGTGAAGTTAATTCCTAGTTTAGACAATCATGAGATAATATATGGAAAGCTTATAGAACAGTCCCTGGTAAATAGGAGACAGTACATGATAGCTATACATATTCTAGACTCAGACTGGTTCATCTTGGAAATCCTTTCCTCTCTTTTCCTCTCCCTCTCTCTTCAGTGACTCAGTCAATATGTAATGTTAGATTAATTGCTTATAGAGTTGTATTACAGCAACTTGTTTCTCTATTTAACTTTTTCCTGTTCATTAAAAAAAAGAGATAGATGATAGAGATTTATTACTTTATTTTTATAAAATAAAAATAGCTTCATTATTTTATGCAAAGAAGTCATCTATACACATGTATGAAGAAAATAGGAAGTCAGGTTTTGATTACAAGCTGCAGTTTTAAAACTTTCTCTTTATGGGCAATTTAATAACAAAGTGATAAGATTACTTTCCATGTTCCTGAACTAATTAGCTTCTTAACAATATTTTGTCTTGAGGTAATGCAGCCGTTAGTTCAGCAACCCATTTTACCTGCTGTGAAACAGTCAGTCAAAGAGCGATTGGGTCCAGTACCTTCAAGTACCATTGAGCCAGCTGAAGCCCAGAGTGCCAGTTCAGATCTTCCTCAGGTATATGAAGTATTACCATTTTGTGTCACTTAATAGGTTCTCAGTAAATTAGTTTCCCTTGGTGTTTTTATTTATACTTAATTGTGTATATTTATATAGAAATGAGATAGCCTGTATATATTTGAAACCCACCTGTGAGCTCTTTTTTTTTTTTAACCATTACCATAACATTTTCCATAGTCTCTCTTTTGCTATAGTATTTGAACCTTAAATTTTTCTCTATAGTTAATACTTCTCTATGAGAAAGAGTTTACTTTTACTTTGTGGAGGAGATATTTTTCAGCAAAATGTCCTGAAACGTGACATTCAGTTCACAAATTCTTATTTTTCCCCATCATCTTTTACTTAACTAGAATTCTGTTCCAGAGGTAATCATGCACTAGACTTCTTTGAAACTTTTTGGGAAGTAATGGCTAAAACCATCAGGTTTTACATAGCTCTCTTAGAATCTTGCTTCACTTATTCCTGAGTCTTGGGTTCTCTTCACCATATATCATTCCTTTCTCACTCCCTTCCTCATTTGAGTGGCAGTTTCTTGTTTCTACACCCTCATTCTCTGAAACTTAGCTTTCCTTTGTTTCCAGATGTTTTAGCTGTATAAAATAGTTAGGATATGGTTTCCTAATTAATGGATGCCACCATATTAAAATAGTCTTTTTAAAATAATATATTCAAATTACTTGCTGAAGAGTAAGATATTTAATTTCTACTTAAAAAAAATGCAGAATGTAAATTGGTAAAATATTAGTTACTTTAAAAAGTGAAGTACCCAAATTCGTTTAGCTTGAATCTTAATAGTATTTGTCTGTAAGACATATTGTAGGAGAGTGGCTTTTTATCTTAAGCTCAAGAAGCAGGCTGGTATTTTAATTAATATTTAAAATGTTCAAACGTTCTACTTGTCAACATAGGATTCTAAGAATTTATTATTCTACATCATGGTGGAGACTTTAGCAAGCATCTAGTTCAAACCTCTTTGTTTTATAGCATAACTTTTCATGATTGAGTAATATTCCACATTGTCTGATTTTTCTGCGCATGTTTTCTTTCTGTCTTTAAAAATTGCCCATGTTTATGTGATTAACATCAAATACTTACAGAGTTAGTGTATGTTAGTAGAGCCAGAATGTTCAAAATCCCAACAGACTTATATGTGTTTGGGGAAACACTGAATATGTCCATTTTAATTTTTTTAGAATGTAACTAAGTTATCTGTGAAGGACAGGTTGGGTTTTGTATCAAAGCCATCTGTTTCAGCAACTGAAAAGGTAAGAAGAATATGGCATGATGTGTTTGTCTTGGCTTCATAAATGTTTTTCAGGTGGCATCTTAATTTTTTAATTTTTTTCATAATTCCAAACTTTGCTTCTTAATATTATCTGTATCTCTTATTCCAACTTTTTTGCTTTCTATTTGCCAAAAAAAGTTTGCATATGTTTTTCATGTTTTGCATCAGCATTTATATACTTGTCTCTCACTATATTTCTCTGTGCACCAAACTTATTGTTTATTTTTTTCTTTTTATTTACTATATTTTCATTAGAGATATTGTACATTTTAATTTGAAAATTCTGGTACTCTAATAGAAAGGAAAATGAATTAGGAATTCTGCTGGAGATTGAGGTCTGGCTCTTTACTTACTAACTGCATGATGTTGGTAGTGCTCTTAACCTTTCTGAATCTTTTCCTCATCAGTTAAATGGTGGGTAATCTTTGTCTTCCTCACAAAGTTTTCTGAGGCTTAAGTAAAATCATTTATTTAAAGGTATATTGTAAATTAGAAAAAATGGTGTAAATGCATTTTTTTTTATTGATTACTAATAGCTGTTGTGTATAGCCTGACAATACATTTAGTTTTTTTTTTTTTAAATAAGTAGGGGGTGAATACTGATTTAACTGAAGACCATTTATGGACACCTGTCTTATAATTCTGTGTAGATGTATTATTTTTTTTTTTGTTCAGGTATGAATGAATGCCCAGATCTTTAGTCCTATTTGAGGTGTGTGGAATCATAGAATTTTATAATTAGATAATCTTTCTCCTTTTCTTTATCTTTACTTTAGAGGAAGGTAAGGTCCAAATAGTTTTATGTTTGCTGTATACTGTGAGTTATTGAAATTGGACTGGAATCTGGGTCTCATATTCTTAATCCATGGCTCTTTCCATAGTGAAGACTACATAGGAATTTGACTTCGTAGGTAAATAGAGCATCCCATGAAAAACTGACCTACTCTCCTCGCTCGTTCTTCGGTGTATCATTTTATTTGTTTGCTATGTTAAATTTTGACATTCCGTGTATCAGATTTTCTTCTTGGATACCTCAGCGTTACTTCAGGCACAACATGCCTTAACTCATTTGTTATTTTCCACATAAATTAATTGCCTAGCCACCACCTCTCAAGATGGTACCACCATTTTCAAGTTATATGGTCTGAAACCCTTAGAGTTATTTACATGTGTTATAGTTCACTTCTCTTTCTCTACCAAATTCTGTTCCCTGGCCACTGGATGCAGTGTTGGAGCTGGCTTTATTTTACACTGCCTCTATCCTACATCTTTTTTTTTTTTTTTTTTTTTTTAATATTAAATTTTTATATTCCCCCATACAATTGCAAACGCCCCATTCTGACCCCAATCCTTCCCCTCCCGCCCCCACCCCCAAAAAGTGTCTCAAAAATATGGAACGCTTCACGAATTTGCGTGTCATCCTTGCGCAGGGGCCATGCTAATCTTCTCTGTATCGTTCCAATTTTAGTATATGTGCTGCCGAAGCGAGCACTCTATCCTACATCTTAATGTTAATTCCTTACAGAAATATTCATTTTCTCTATTAAATGACTTTGCTTGATTGATAGTTCATCCATATCTCAGTTATTCTCATTCTGTTATTTTTGCTTTAGTCTTTCTACCCTAACAAGTCCTTTCTGCTCATTGTCCTTTGCTCTTTCCTGCATTTGTTTTCTTTTTTGGTGATCGTTTTCATGTAATGCATTTCCTTTGGCATAACTGAGTTCTGTTCATTCTTTTTAAATATTGAGAATCTCTCTAGCCTCTTCCATAAAACCTCCAATTTTTTTCATGTGACGCACTTCCTTTTCTTGAATTTGTGTTGCTTAGCTTACACTATTACCTTTGGCACTATCTAAATATTTACTTTGATGAGATTTCTCCTCCATAATGATAATTAACTAAGGAATAAAGAAAGCAACATAAGGCCTGTTATATTTTATGTAGTACTGAGCAGTTTTGGAAAGTCTAGACTCCTCTTACTGTTTAGGATCTGTTTATGTTAAGAATTGGACTCTGAAAGTACAGTTATTAATTACATAGGTCTTATCAGAACTCCCAATTAGGTAGTTTTTGCTATAAAAAACACATGGATATCATCAGTAAACATTCAGTTTACTGGAAAAATGATTATTTACTTAATATGAAAATTGACTTAATAACTAAATTTTCTATGCATAGTTCCTCAGATACTCCCTTTTTGTTACATTTTACTCTAAGGTACTTCTTTAAAAAACTGTTAGAACTTACCTTGAATATGGCAACGATACATCGTAACTGTGCTTCTTTTGTGTTTGATTTTAACTGGAGCATTGTCTATTAAAAATGATAGTTGGACGAATTAATTTGTAGTCAGTAATTTTTCAAAATGCTTTTTTATCCTTTCATTCTTACCCATGAGAAAAATCTGTTTTTCTTTACAAGTACTAGTAGTAGTAATGATTGGCAATATTTTACACAGGATATATGATAAGGAAATGTTAATGGATATAACCTTTCTCTCATTAGGGAATTGGCTTTCTGACTTGGAAAATAAGAATTATTAGTGATGTACATTTAAGCAACGCAACATATGATATTTTTCAGCTCATTTTGTGAATTCAACATAGTTTTGGTGCCAGTCCTAACAACTGTAATATAAGAAAGGACAATCATATTCATATTTTATGAATATGAACGTAAAAATTCTGAACAAAGTGTTAGAAAATATACAGTAATAGGAAAAAAGTAATACATCACAGCTAGGTAAGATTTATTCTGGAAGTGCAAGAATGATTTGACATTTGAAAATCAGTTTGACTCTCACTACATTTATAAAATATAGGGGCGGGGGATGAATACCCCACCTGTATCAGCAGGAAAAAACATGAAATTCATTACTTAGTCATATAAAACACTGAAATAAGAATAGAAAGATAATTTTTCATTTAACAAAGGATATCTGCAGTCAGTATAATGGTGAGATATTAAATGGTGTGATCAGGAACAAGAAAGGATTTCCTTGTCATCACTTTTTTTTTCTGTAGTACAGGGCCTAACTGGTATAGTAAAGTCAGAAAATGGAATACATAGTATTCCATGGTGGAGGACTGTGTTTTTCTTGGGTGGGTATGGTGTGGGAACATACATCTGAAGAGGTGGGATCTTATGTTTTTGAATCATAGTGTTGTAAACCAGTGTTACCTTAATTAAAAAAAAAAAGTAAAGGGAAAAAACTGCTTTTACTCACAGATGACATGACTGTGTACCGAAAACCCAAAAGAATTCGCAAACAATTGGAATTAATACATAAATACAATAAATTCACTAGAAATAGTATCATTATGTAAAATACAAAACATGGAAAAACCCATCCGGAAAACAGAGAAAGTGTTTGTTTGAAAAGGCTACTTACTGCCTGTGCTTTGACTCTTCTTAATAAGTGTAGCATCTTCTTTTCTTGGATTTGTGACTCCCCTCATTGATTTCACTTTTAACAGGTTTTCTTCTCTTTTATCACAACTCTTTGTTTTTTGAAATAAAGTACCTGTTGCTATCCAGATTCTTAATATCTAAACTTGAAACCAAATAGATTCAGATAGTGAGCTGTATTTGTAAATCACACAGTTTCTAAAACACATTTGAACACCTCTGAAATTGAGCTGTCGCTTGCAGATGTTTGTGTTTGTGTTATAAATGACAGTCTTTTTTTTTTTTAAGAAGGGTATATAAAATGATAGTGTATGTTGTGTGTAATATATTAGCTGATAATTCTATTTTTATAGAAGGAAGTTCTTGGATAAAACCAGGAAATGGGATGCTGCTATGAATAAAGAAGTTTTCTCATTCTCATCAGATACTTTTTTGTTCACTTTGAACCAGAACTCTTAGTTAGATATCAGATATGAATTTGAATATGGTGAAAAGGAGTGTTCCCTGCTTACTGAAAATGGAGAAATCCTGGATTAAACAAATTTATATGGGTTACCTTAGTTGTGAGCGTCTCACAACTTTGATACGCTTTTTAATGTTTCTGTCAGTGTTTTTTATTGAGGTATAATTTACAATGCATTTACAACATAATGATTAACAGGGTGTAGAAGATAATGATTCAATATGTATATATTGTGAAATGATCACCCTAATAAGTCTGGTTCACCCTCATAGTTATAACTTGTGATATGAGCATTTTAAGATCTACTCTTTACAACTTTCAAATATATTATATAGTATTGACTAGTCTCCATGCTCTATGTTACATCCCAAGATCTTATATTATCACTGAATTTTATACCTTTTGACTGCCGTCAGATAAAATGCATTTTAAAACTAGAAAATTGGGTTATGCTGTTCATTGTTTCCAATTTATTTGGGGTAGATGTCTTTTGTAGTTGCAACTTTTCAACTTGTAACTGTTGTGTGGAAGTTTATGAAACCAGAGTCTGTCTAAAGCAAATTATGTTTCACCCTTTATAAAGTTGTCTCATTATATAATCATGCAAGTTGTGTGGCATGGTAAAGTAGCACAAAAGAAATTTTTCTCTACATTTGCAGATGATGAGAACTAAAATCTGTGTTTACACATTAAATATGTTTACTACATAATTCTTTGAATGCAATCATTTCACATTTGTTTGTGATAATAGATTATTAATTTTTATTATTGATGAAATTTATAAATTAAATTTTGATACAGCTTTGAAAGAACTTCTTGGGTTTGTAAAGAGCCTTTATTTTTAAACATCAGTTGTGCTGTATTGAACAACATAGTTATAGTATTCCAGGTTTTTAAGAGATGATGAATTGCCTGAACTTTGTGGTGGTTCCTAATCTAATTTCATGATAAAAGATTAGAAAGTGGTGTCCAGATTGCTATGTCTCTGATATATGCAGATATTAACATTTTAACAGCTAAAAGGTGGAACCTTTTTTTTTTTTTTCCCCCCTTACAGAAACTCTTCTATTTGTGTAATTCCTTTAACCTTTTTTAGATCATGACTCCTTTAAAGACCTTTGAAACTGTATTTTGCCTCTGGAAAGTTACATGTTCACACACATTTACTTTTTATAACATTCATACATCTCCCTAAAGGGATCCCTGGACTGTTTTCTATGGACTAATAATCTACCCAATCGAATATACAGCTTAAAAATACAGGGCATTTTTTTGCCCTTGAGTTGACACTTTTGCAGAAAAGTTATCTACTCTAATTCTTCATCTCTTTAAATTAGTGCAGAAGTATTTATCAGGTATTTACAGGGTGTCCTTTGCACTCAGGTAAGCACTGCAAATATAAGCAAGAAAAACTGTACTCAAAAATGAATTTTTCAGTTTTTTAGGACATTATACACCATTCAAATTGAACTCTTCGGTTTTATAGATGAGTAAACTGAGGTCCTAAATGTTCCTGAGTGTCAAAATTAGTTGGGAGAAGGGCTTAGATATGGGAAGAAGCAAAAATTGGAGACAAGCATGGTTTTTGGACGAGACACATGAATTAATATATCATTGGGGCTTTTTTTTAATTAAACATTAATAACTAAAGGGATAAAAGTTCTGAGAAGGACCGGAGTGGAAGAAATGATTAAGGTTTTGTAGAGGTCCTGACTGCTGAACTTGAGCTGGATTTAATGGAATATGGTTGCTCAAAAGAAAAGAAACAGTACTAACAAAGGAATGGAGAAAGAAAACAATTAGGTTAATTTTAGAACTGCAGGTTGAAATGATCATATTAAATTTTTGAGGGACAGCATCCAATTTCCTTCTGTGCCATGCTCTTGTGTATAGTTTTTGCTTTAACTGCTACGAATAGAAGTAAATGTATTCAGTAAAAATGAATATTTTCTCACTGATAGATTAATGGCAGTTTTTTCCCCTTGATTTAAAGTTTTTGTATGTTTGTATTTGCTTATTTCCTAAAGCTATGTATGTTGTTAATTAATTTTTTTTAATTTTATAGGTTACCCCTCATTCATAACCTCTTTCAAATCACTAAATATGGTTTAATTATTATATGTACATTATACATTTAGTTCACTGTGCTAAATTTTGACAGAATTGCTTTAAAGTTTAATTTAGTAGAAAACAGGACTTAGAAGAAAATGCTTGATTTTTTTTTTTTTTAAGAAATTGAATTTGTATTGCCAGGTGTTGTCTACGTCTACTGGCCTAACAAAAACTGTGTATAATCCAGCTGCTTTGAAGGCTGCACAAAAAACGTTGCTTGTTTCCACCTCTGCAGTTGATAATAATGAAGCACAGAAAAAAAAGCAGGTAAATACACCTAGTAGTGTACAAAATTTGCATGTAGCAAAGCTTTCCTGCAGGTCTGTCTTTTTCAATGCTTACTACAAAGTAGAATTCAAAGAAAGGTGTATTTTGGCTGCTACTGAAGTTCTCTTTTCCGTATTACAGCAGTAAATAGTTTTACATGGAACAGAAGATTCTCCTGATGTGATTTTTGAAACTTGCATACATACATAAGTTTTACATAGCAAAACTTTGCATTTAATTATTGTTGCCAAACTTCTGCAGATAGAACCATTTCTCTCTATAATAGTTGGGCAATAAACAGTAATAATCTCTTTTTTTTTTTAAGATCTATTTATTTTTATACAAGAGCTGGGGTATAGGCCAGAGGCGTGGGAGGGTGAGAGGATTCACCCTCTCAGGGAGCAGAACAGGCAGACGAGCAAAATACACTGCTGAGGGGAGCAGCAGGTGAGACAGGAGAGGTCTGCCGCACCATGTGGGATTCTCCCCGGCCAGCCGGTATCAAACCCACACTACAGAGGCTGTGGACAGCTTCACAGTGAGGTGTTCAACCTGCTGCACCACCGGGGAGGCCCTAAATAGTAATATTCTAATGGTAGTTTTGATTCCTCTTCTCTAGGAGGCACTGAAACTTCAGCAGGATGTAAGGAAAAGGAAACAAGAAATTTTAGAAAAGCACATTGAAACACAGAAGGTAAAACATTAGAATTGGCAAATATATTTACAGATGTCCTAATTTTGACTGAATTTAATCCTCTACTATATAGATCATCCTGAGAAACATTTTAGTGTAATTGATAATGGGAAAAACTGAAATACTATCTTGATAATAAATAGAGTACTGTATTGGAATGAAGGGCGTACATTCAATGGTAGATTGGGAATGGGAATAATTTAAGTGGAACTTTGGTTATGAACTTGAAATGAAAATTAGGTGTTTACTGAGGTTTGTCGCTGCACAACTCTGTTTAACAGAATGAAAGGGAATCTTTTTTTTTTCTGTCTTGAGACTTGTACCTTTCATCAATTGATTTGTGATCCTTCAGTTCTGTAAAGTAGTTAATAACCCATCCAACTGTTGAGTAACTGAAATGTGTCTAGTACAAATTGAGATGTGCTACAAGTGAAAGAAACATACAAAGTTCAGGACATAATAAGATGAAAAAAGTAAAGCAGCTCAATAATTTTTGTTGAAATGTAACATTTGGGATATATTGGGTTAAATAGAGTTTATTAGTAAATTAATTCTAGTTTGTTTTATTGTGGCTGCTAGAAAATGAAAATTTACATATCATTTGCAATATTTCTTTATATAGTGTTGCACTAATTTTTTAATATAAATTAGTGTCATCTTGATTACGCCTAATAAAAGGTGAGACATTTTACATTATCATGTAGAATGTATGTCTTTTCTAGTTTAAATTAGAAAATACATGATAAAGAGTTATCACAATGTTTTATACCTAAAGCCGACTTTGACTAAGAGGACTTACAAATATTCTGTGGTGTCTTCCAGCCCATATTACCTTGCTTTATATTCTTGTTTCCTGTCGATGTTGGGGGAGATATTCTTAGGCTATCCACGTACTCTTCCCTGTGACAAACAAAGTAATTAAATGTTCCATTTTTCTAATATCGTTATTAGAACAGAGTCATATAATGAACAGAGAACTAATTCTGACATTTTTATTCTGATTATTTCTGGGCTGCAAACTACATTTGGAGTAGAAATACTTAGAGGCAGTAGAATCAACAAATGAATTAGGAAGTAAAATTGTTGATATTATTTCAAATAATAATATGATTATGATTTGATGATTGAATGAATTTCTTACGGTTGTGTGCTTTGAACTTAACATTCCAAGAAACTTGTGTACTAACAGAGTTCTTCACAAAGTTTTGTCTTGAATTAAGATAGTTAGCATCACCATATCTGCTATTCAGATATCTCAGTGCTTGAAAGCATTATCATAAACACATAAATTGAAAGTAATAGTTATTTTTATATTTACTTACTCTGCAGTGTTTACCTTGTTAATAACAGTAAGAATAAGTGTCTTATATTTTCCTTTTTTAAAAAATCTGGCAGATGTTAATTTCAAAACTAGAGAAAAACAAAACTATGAAGTCTGAAGATAAAGCAGAAATAATGAAAACTTTAGAGGTTTTGACAAAAAATATTACCAAATTGAAAGATGAGGTCAAAGCTACTTCTCCTGGACGCTGTCTTCCAAAAAGTATAAAAACTAAAACTCAGGTATTTTAATTTGTGTTGTTACTCATATTACTATTGGTTAAGAAACATTAAGACACTTTATTGTTTAAGAATTTGGGTAATATCCTTTGCTCCAAATCTGATTATTGTATCTTACCATTCTCCCCTTCCTCCATAAATTATAAGTAGATAGATAAAAAAGCAAAATCTGCTAATCTATTTTTGAATCCTGTGATATGCACACAGAAAGTTAGTAATTGGGACAGCTGTTGTAGATAACCTTGAAAAGGTAGTTTGGGAACAAAATTGATATAGATACTTAATTTCATGACTGAGGAGTTTGAGCTTTGTTTTGTAAGTAGTTGGTGTATAAAAGGTAAATAAACAGAGACTTAATTCTGCGAGGACTGTACAAAATGAACTGATTTAAAGTGAAAAATTCAGGTAGATTTATTTACTCGTTAGATACAAATAAGTGAACAAGATAATTTCAGGTGGTAGTAAGTGATTTTAAAAAATCCCACAAAGTTATACAGTATTAATACTTAGTGGATGTGTATATATGTATAAATTCATGAATTTATACTGATATTTCTGATTCTGCTCTAACAACCCTTGGTGTCTTCCTTTCCTTTCTTATTCCATATTTTCCTCCCTAGTCCCATAACAACTTAGTTGCCACTGACATCAGTGCAGTATTCATTTACACAGTCTTCTAATACATTCCGTATATTTCCAGTGTTACTGCAACAATACTTCCAACTGACTAAATAGGAAATTCAGAATCTAGTTGCACTCTTTGCAACTTCACATTATGTTCTACTAAGAGAAGAGTTAGAACTATCTAGGAGTACTTTTTCTTTTGTATGGTTGTGTTACCATTTGATAAAGTTAAGTGTGTTTTTATTTGTTAAGTTTTTGGATTCCCTCCACCCATCTTTGCTCATATCATTTTATTTTTTTAATAAGCATTAACATGACTCAAAAAGCAAACTATTTCAAAAGGTATATATAGAATATATACCTTTATCCCTGACACAGTACCTCTTCCTTTCCTTTATGTGTATGTATTTCCTACATAAAAACATATTGTATATATTGCTTATTAATACTTAGGCTTTTGTTTTTCTCTTCACAGTAATTTCCTGAAAATTGCTCCATATCAATCCACAGAAATTTCACTCTGGCTTCTATACAGAGAGTGAATTATAGGGAAATCAGTGGAAGTAGGAACAAGTTATGAAGCTATTGCAGTAGTATAGACCAGAGGTGATTGATAGATTGGACTAGGCTGATAGGCCTGGTGATAGAGAAATGTATGGATTAAGTGGGAATTTGTGAAAGAAAAAATTCTGTATAAATACAGGCTATTACTATCACTTAAAATAATAATTATTATTTTCTAGATGCAAAAAGAATTGCTTGACACAGAATTGGATTTGTATAAGAAGATGCAAGCTGGAGAAGAAGTAACTGAACTCAGGAGAAAGTATACAGAATTACAGCTGGAAGTATGTTTCAAAACTGCAGTATGCTCAAGAGGAGCAGATATAGTGGTGGTTATTTTGAAACTATATTTCCCTCATTGGGATCAGTTTTTGCTAATCTCTGGCATGCATATTGGGAACATACATAAAGGAAGGAGGGCAGAGACAAAATTTTTTAGAACTAGTAAGAAAATACTTTGTTTATTGAGGAGTGTTAGTAATTATAACTATTTACTGGAGTCCCTCCACTTCTAGTGAATTTTTTTCCTTTTCTATTTTTACTTGAACTTTTCCCTGAGACCTAAGTCTATCACTGTCATTTCAGAATCTCTTATGAAGAGATTCTGTAGATAAATATGCATATTATATTGAGCTGGGATGAGCAACTTTGGTAGAACTGTATTGATGAACATGCCTACTTTTGCCTATAGATGGTGCTGTGGATATTTATAAAAGAGAAATACACTACTTTCTTATAATTTACTTACATGATTATTTAAGAAAAAACTCCTAGTGAAATCGATACTTATACATGAGAATTTTTAATATTTTAATGTAAGGGGATGTTTGAATATCAGAATTGCATTTTGAAGTACAGAGGCACTGTACTTGATTTTTTTTTTTTTTTAATCAACTATCATTTTCAAAATTTTGGTCCAGCCCAGTATTTTTTGAGAAGTAATACTGGGCCTCCCTGGTGGCACAAGGGGATAAGTCTTAGCACCGTCATGCTATCGGCAGCCACTGCAGCACCAGTTTGATCCTCGGCCAGGAAGCTGACCTACATAGTGCAGCCAACCTCTCCCATCTTGCCCGCTGCTCCCCTCAGCAGTGTATTTCAGTCGAGCACCTGTTCTGCTCCCCACTCTGTCTCTGGTAAAGTCTCTCAACACACCCCCCCCCCCGCATTTCTGACCTATACCCCAGTTCTTATATGCATAAATAAATATCATCTTTTTTAAAAAAAAGAACTAAGTAATACTGTTTCCAATATTCTTTTTTCCTTTTTTCATCTTTTTTTTTTTCTTTAAGTAGCATTATTTTACCATACAGAGGTGTAGGATCATACCTCTTCGTATATGTTATTACGTTGTGCCCACCTCCAAGGCATCCATAGTCCTTTGCTGTAGTGCATTGGGCAGGAGCGGTCCACACCCTCTTTCCCCCTCCAGATAAGGGGTAACCTCAATTTTACAGTCAGATTTCCAGGGTTTGTTACTGGTTTGGTACTATCTGACCCTTTGTTTTGTTCCTCTGTATTCCACATAAAGTGAAACCACTGGTATTTCTCCTTCTGACTTACTTTGCTTTGCATATCCCCTTCAGTTCCATCCATGTTGTTACAAATGGCAAGAGTTCTTTTTTTTAACTAGCTGAATGGTATTCCATTGTGTATATATACCATACCTTCCTGATTCACTCATCTCGTTTAGCCATAGCTTGGTTATTGTAAACAGTGCTGCAGTGAATATATATAGGCATGCGCTTGTATTTTTGAATTAGTTTTCTTGCATTCTTCAGGTAGATAACGAGGAGTGGAATTACTGGATTGTATAGTAGAGCTACTTTTAATATTTTGAGAAACCTCCACACTGATGTCCATAAAGTCTGGACCAGTTTAAATCCCCACCATCAGTGTATGAGAGTTTATTTTTTCCCACATGCTTTCCAGCACTTGTCTCTGGTCTTCTTGAGATGGGATCTCATTGTTGTGGTTTTGATTTGCATTTCTCTGACCATAAGTGATTTGAACATTTTTTCAAGTGCCTGTTGTCATCTTTTTTTGAGAAGTATCTATTTAACTCTTCTGCCCATTTTTTGATTGAGTCATTTTCTTTTCGTTAAGTTGTATGAATTCTGTGGAGATCTTGCATAGCAGCCTCTTGCCAGATGTATGGTGTACAAATATTTTCTCCCATTTATTAGGGTCATTTTGCTTTAATGATCATTTCTTTTGCTGCTTCTGCAAAAGAGATGATTTGATATAATCCTGCTTGTTATTCTCTTTTGTTTCTTTTGCCGTTGGTGATAAATCCACAGATATTTCTGAAGCCCATCTCTTAGAGTTTTGCCTGTTTTCTTCTGTGTTTTTGATAGCTTCAGGTCTTAACATCCAGGTCTTTAATCCATTTTGAGTTAATTTTGTATGTCATATGAGATAGTCTAGTTTTACTCTTTTGCATGTTATCATCCAGTTTTCCCAGCACCATTTGTTTTTCCTTTTTCCAGTGTATACTCTTATCTTCTTTGTTATAGATTAACTGTCCGTAGAAGTGTGGGTTTTTTTGGGGGGCTCTCAGTACTACTCCATTGATTTGTGTGTCTGTTTTTAATTCTAGTACCATGTTGTTTGATCACTATAGCTTTGTTGTATAGTTTGAAGTCTGGGAATGTGATGCCGCTGTCATTCTTTTTTGTCAATATTGCTTTGGTTATTTGGGGTCCTTAGTGGTTCCGTATGAAATTCTGTTGTTTTTGTTCTATTTTTGTGAAGAATGCCATTGAAACTTTGATAGGGAGTGCATTGATTCTGTGTATTACTTTGGATCATATTGCCATCTTGGTTCTTTATCATGGCACTGCTAAACACTGATGACATTTGCTGTTTTTCTTTCATGATGGCTAAACCTGTTTTTGCAGTTAATACTAGTCTGTGTAGTATTTCCCAGAGGATGTTCATGCACCACACCTGTTTCATTTTTTGTTAATAAATATTAGTGGAAAAAGTTCTGAGGCCAAATAAGTTTGGAAAATGTTATATTTGACATACATTTTAACTGAAGGATTTCTTGGAGTCTTTTAATTTGTAATTCTTCAAAAATGCATATTAAATATTCAGTATTGCTCAAAACTGTGTGTCCATAGACCTACCTTTTCAGGCATTTTGAGATGTTGAATGTTCCCAGGGCATATTTTTTATAAATGCTGCTCTATAATTAACATTAATCCTTAACTTGTTATGTTTATTAATTGGATTTTAGGTAATTATTTTAGCCTATTTTAATATTAACACTCTTCAGATGAAGCTGAAATATTTATACTTGGAGAGCATTGACAGTGGTGCCTGCTTAATATTTTCACTTTGATGTCTCATATCCTCCTACTAAGTCTGTTCAAAATTGTGCTTATTTTGCACCTAAACTCCATCTGTACAATTACCCAAACAAATATGGGGGTCTTAATTGATTTCTACCTTCAGAATCTGTATCTAATACCATGTTTTAGGTGTTTTTCCCAAATATATTTAAATTGTGTTTACTTTTCTCTTCATTAACATCATCTTATATCAAGCTCTATCTTCAGTTGCTATAGGTATTGTAGCCTACTGACTGACTTCCCACCTTTATTCTCTTCTTCTATTCACTTCTAAAACTATAGCTAGGAGAACACTTGAAGCATTGATTTGGTTATATCACTCTACTTTTCTGCTTAAAATATTTTAATTGATTTTCATGGCTCTTGAGATAAAAATCAAAATCCTTAATGTGGCCTTTAGAGTTATTTATGGTGTTCTGTTTATTTCTCTGGTTTCATCTTTCTCTCCCATGTGGTTCAGTTATACTGGATTTTATTTGTTCTTTCTAGTACCATGTTCCTTTCAGCCTTGTTCCTTTGTTCATGCTGTAACTCCTGTCCCTCACCCTTGCCTTGCTTTTTCTTTCTTCTTTCTTTGAGTCACTGAATAAATATTATTTATAACCAATCAGCTATTGTTGTAGGTGCTTGGGATAAAGTACAGAGTAAAAGAAGGGTTAATTCTCATTGAACTTTCATTCTAGAGTTTATTCATTCCAAATCTCTAATGTTCTGTGATATCTTTAAGTAATGCATTTCTTTACTTTTTAAATCACTTTTTGTTAACGTAATTAAATAACTTGCACTGCTTAATGTCTTAGTGCATATCTAGGATTTGCACACAGAAACTGCTCATTAAGTATTTGTGGAATTGAAAGAATGATTTGCTATTCACATGGAGTTATGCTACATTGGTTGTATAATGATGTGTTAGTGTAAGTGATCAAAATGATGAACTTGAGATAACTGCTTAAGCCAACAGGCTAACAAATAGAAATACTATTTGAAAACCACAACTGGAAAATATATTTATTATGACTTCTGCAATAATGTGTACACTATATTATTTGGAAATCAAGGGTTGCTCGTCTTTTTTGTGATATAGTCTGATGTCTTAGAGGTCAAGAACTTAGTAGAAAAAGGCACTTTTAGTAATTTCAAAACATTTCTTAAATTATTGTTTCATTTTCTGAATTCCTAAGCAAAGTTAGTGAACTTTGCTTTCATTTTACAAACTAAAAACTCAAATTATGAGATCCTGTTATATGGCTTTGTTTCAACATGGTATCAGATTGTAGAAATACTTGACTCATCTGAATGAGTGTAACACTTATGTTAGTAATTGTGACATTTAACTTTCAATCATTTTCTAGGCTGCAAAACGAGGGATACTTTCATCTGGTCGGGGTAGAGGAATTCATTCGAGAGGTCGAGGTGCAGCTCATGCACGAGGCAGGGTTCGAGGTCGGGGTCGAGGTGTACCTGGTCATGCTGTGGTGGATCACCGTCCCAGAGCATTGGAGATTTCTGCATTTACGGAGAGTGATAGAGAAGATCTTCTTCCTCACTTTGCGGTACTTTTTTACTGCCCAACGAAACGAATACTGGTGTCTATTGTTGGGGAAAATGGATATAATTAATGGGGAAATTTTGAAAATGACATGAATAATTGAAACCCATTAATCTGGTCAAATAATTTGATTAATATATAATAATCCTGTTAATTATTTTTTAAAAACCTGGGAGGTTTATTGTTTAATTTTTATCTATAAGAAATTTGACTATTCTGGCACTTAGTAGTTCTTCGGATATTGTGAAATAAATTAATTTGGACTTTGTTTTAGGGAAGAAGGAAGTTTTATAATTTAGTTTCAGTTGATAGTTACTTTTAAGGAAAAATCTAAACCATTGCACAGGCCATCCAGACTTTATTGTTATTTGGGTGGAATTTTATTCTTGATCCTGCTGACCTAGAAATGAACCAAGACAAAATTTTGGCGTATGATCTTCATGTTGCCTTAGTTAGTGCCAGGGTTTAAATAAAGGGAATCAGTCCAATGGTAATAGACCACTCTCTGAGAAAAGAGAATGGAATTTTAGTTGCTGTTAATCCATTATTTACCTTGAGCTTCCTGGCATCCATTGGGCTGATATTTAGAAGAAGCTTATACCTGCCTAAAGGCATTTTCAACTTAAATGTTGTGATGCTTATCCTAAAGGTCTTACTGAGCATTAGTTTTATTGGCAGAATTACAGAAATTGCTTTTGAGCTATGAAGGGCACAACTACTTTTTACTTTCAAGTATTTACATATTTACAAGCAAGTTAAGTTTATAAAAACTAGATTCTTTAGTAACTTAGAGAAGTATTTTTCACAGAAATTAGATAGGAAAAGAAGAGTAAAGTTTCATGAGGTAATAAAACTGGAGTTTAGGTGTTAATGCATAAACTTGTAGATAGGTGTACACATGATTTAATGTTTGGAAAATTGAGATTTAAATGTTTGGCAGTCATATTCCAGGCTGTTAATAAAAGTTACAAAGATGTAACTATACTTTGTTAGGACTCAGGGAGGTATTGAAGGAAATGGCATATGTTCAAGAACTAACTTAAATGATTAGTATTTAAGGATGAAGAATATGGAAAGTCCTATGCTTGATAGCTTCAAAGGGAGAAAGAAAGGAATCAGAACTAGCCAGGAGCTTGAAGATAATTTAGCCCCACTTTTTCTTATTGTCTACCCCACTTCCACACCTTTCACAAGAGGCAACATATAGCTGACTTATATTGGATATAGTTGTACAACTAGCACTGAACATGCTAAAATAATCCAAACAAATAAGGTGAGTTGTTATAACAAAGAGAGTTGGTTTTAGGAATATTCAGAGGCATTAAATGGAGATTTTTTTTTAAATTTTTTTTTTTGAGATTCCAACTGCACTTAAAGTTAGTAGCGGTAATGTACATTTTCAAATTATCAGTCTTCAGGAATGCAGGTTTAATGTTTAGCTTCTCCACCTCAACCTGTGATTTGAACACATGACAGGTTATCAGAGAAAAAACACTACTTTATTAAAGGACCATTACTTATTATATATTGTGGTTAGTAAGAGGTTTCTCTGATTCATCTACTGGGACCAATAATAGTAATAAAAGTTAAAGCTAAAACTTATACTTATTTTGGCAGTTATTATTTTAAATACCTTATATAAATTAAATTATCAATTATTTCACAACTTTGCAGTAGGTATCCTTTTTTGTCCCTTTTACAGAGCAGGAAAATGAAGCCTAAAGAGACTGAGATGTTCAAATTTACACAGCTAGTAAATGACAAAGTGGAGATCTGATTGATTCTAAAGTTGATTCTCTTTAAGAGGAAAGAGTGTGTGTGCTTTTGTATTTTATGAGATTGTGATTATAATTTTATTTTTGGGTAAGGAAGAAGGAAGTTACTGGTAATGTATAGCGGGCTAGAATTTTATATGATCAGCATTGATCTTTCCACTTCTACAAAGTGGAAAAAATATCCAGCAAACCAAAAACAGGCATAATTTAATGTGTTTAGCTTTTAAATGTCCTAAAGAGTCTGATCTATTAGAGTATAGATGAGAGTGAAAGCAGGTTCAGATAGTGTTAAATTATTGAATCAAAAGACCTGGACTCCCATCTTGGTAATTAACTTAACTTGGGGGAAATTGCTTAAATTCTCCAGATCTTACTTCCCTCTATCTTTAAATTGGGAATGATTAAAAAAAACTCATAGCATTCTGAAGATTAAATATTCTCCCTGAGAAGAATTCAACATGTTCTGGGATCAACATGTTTAGGAAGGACAATAAGGAAGCTTAGACTCTGAACATTGTTCTTTATTTAAAAAATAGTAAAGTCAAGTAAAAGTTTTCCTAATTCTAAAAAGCATAGGATTATAAATAATAATGAAGGTAAGGCCACCATTTATCTTCAATACCAAGTACTAAAATGAATTATTCACCATTTTTAAAATATTTTTTAAAATATTAGAATTTTGGATGTTTCGAAATATTTATTTGGGGGAAATACTTTTTTTTAATTTAAAGCAATATGGTGAAATTGAAGATTGTCAGATTGATGACTCTTCACTTCATGCAGTAATCACTTTCAAGACAAGAGCAGAAGCTGAAGCAGTAAGTATCACAAATAATCTAATTTATTGGAAATTCAGATGGAAATGTTTTATAAATAATACTTAAATATGTTTTAATATAAATGAATTTTGAAAAAACTTTAAATAGCTACTGTTTGATAGTAGATAGAACATACAAAATGGAATCCACAGTCACAAAGAATGTCTTAGAGCAGTTATGCAATTCTGTATTTAATTCTCTATGTATAATGTAACATGGTTTCGAATTTAGTTAGTCATTAAGTAAATTGTCAAGTCATTTTCTTGAGACCACAGCTGTTCTCTTTCTTTTTTTTCATAGGAGATAGAGCCACCCCACTTACTGTTAATCTGTTTTTTCAGCAGGCCTAGAACAAGGTCTGGTTTGACAGAGTGGGTGGTGAAGAATAAGGAGAAGCTGAGCTATAATCCTGTGGTAGCTATAATCCTGTGGTAGTTCTTAACCATCCTTATCTGTTGTTTCCTAGTCCCAGTAGGCTGATATATAAAGAAGTGTTCTGAGCTCAGCATACCACAGTCAGGCCTCTATAATTTTTACCCAAGACATGATATATCCCTCAGCTTATAAGATCCTTTAAGTATGGTTGTCTTAAACTGTGTGTCTTGCATTTGTCTTTGCAAAGAAAGACCAGAAAAACATGTAACCTCATTTTCATCTGCATTTAAGATTAGAAAAAGGAAAATCAATGTGAAGTGTAGGAGATTTGTAGGAACATTTTAGCCTTGTGTGTTCTTTCTTCAGGACTGTGAATAAATAGATGTAATATTTTGCCCTTGGAAAAAAGTTTTTTAAGAGTTCCAAGTAATTAATCTAATGAGAATGGAAGCATGGGATGCTCTTCAGAAGTTTTAAGTTGATTTTGACATAAGTAAGTTTTGAAAAACCTGTTAAATTGACTTATCCTCTTAGTGTAGTGAGAACTCTGCCAGCACAATGATACATGATTGCTGGGGGTTGTAACCAGTATACTATGAGTCCAGTAAGTCTTAGAAAAGTGTTCAAGTGGGGCCTGTACAAGGTTGGGGGTAAGTAGTGGATAATTTTATAGAATGGAAATTTCTGGTTCTAAAGTTTTGTCCTCAAGTTTTAAGTCATTTTTTATTTAAGGATCTTCTATGAAAGTAAAAAGTAATTTATGATTGATGAGAGTTTAAATCTTTTTTATAAACTTTATGTGTGTATATTACATTGGAAAAATAGATCTTTCCGTTTTTCTCTCAAAGGTATTACTGAGTACAAGTTTAGAATAAGCCTTTAAATATAGCTTCGGTAATAATTTTCAAAGTAATGTTAGCTAAGTAGCTTGCATGCCATCTCTTTATGTTTTATTTTCTAGGAAATAGCCATTTAAAACAATGGTAGTTGTTATTGTACAAATGCTAAAATAATATCAAGTTTGTGGATTTAGTAGTAACTAGCTTATTTATTTCTCCCTCCTTAAATAATTTTTGGAAACTTTATTTTTTGTAAGACTTTCTTTTTGGTACAACCCTTTAACATATGCATTCAATTTTTCCCCTTGCTTTACCCATCTCAGATTTTTTTTTTTGTATATTTTTATGTGATGTATGTATTTTTTAAAATGAACAGCAATCAATACAAAAGGTCAGGGATCAATATATAAAAAAAGACTAACACACGCATGGAGAGAGTGTTATTTATTTTATAAGATAATAAATAAGAAAAACTAATATATAAGAAAGATTAGCACTGAATTATATGAAGGTTGAATAAGTAACAAAATATCTAAGATCAAATTAGGTACAAAGATTGTTATCAGGTTAAATACCATTTTAGTTGGATTTACTTTAATAGGCTGAAAGAACAGTTACCATTGTTATAATAAGTATTTGGAATTAAGTTGTAGAAATTGTTAAATCATAAACATTTCCTGTCACCAAAAAATTTCTTAAAATTTTGTAACATTCTGTTTTTGTAAAGAATAAAAAATGAAGTTGAAGTTTATCTTTCTAATGCAAGTAAGATATAAGCTAAAAGAGTGGTTTTCAAACTTACGGATTTCAGGGAATGTTAATTAAGGTTTAGGAATTTAAAAATTACTGTGTTTTACATGTGGGTGCTAATTTAACTTTTCAAGGAAGAATGCTTAAAAAGTACCCACAAAATTGCTATGTACCATCACCATCATTATATAAACGCAATTCTAACATCAAAAATGTAAGAAGATATAAAGGTTAGGCCCTCAGAAGAAGAAAATGGTCAACCTTTGCTAATGTTTATTTTCAGATATGGCATTGTTCTTACTTTCTGAACCATTGTCTTGGATGATTGAATGAATTTCTCTTTATATTTTAATAATCTATAAATAGTATTTCAAAGTGAAAGTATAGGGGTAAGGTAATTGAGATATTCAAATATGACTGAAAGCAAAATTTCTCCAGGAAAGAGATTGAAGTATTTTGAGGAATAAAAAAATTAATATAACACCTATATTTCCGATTCATATACAGTGTTGTAAGCCAATGTTATTTTAATAGAAAAATAAAAATAACATTTTTAGCTTTAGGATAAGATGATTATGATTTGACTCTGGTTACTTTATTTTCTATTTTACTGTTTGACAATCACCATGCCTGTGTAATTTTGCATATATCAGCCTTTTCCAAATGTCAGTAGTTTCCAGAACCATTTTCCATGTAAGATAAGGAACATGCCTCATCACTACTTTTAATACATTTTTTTTTCATTATTCATCTGTCAGAGCTTCAGAAATTACTTTTTTTCTAGTGTATGTATGCCTGTTTTTCTTAGTTTCTAATTTGCTGTAAATTTGAATGAACATGAGCATGAAAAAGTAGGCCAAGGGCTGGGTGAAAATAAAGTAACCAGAGTCAAATGGATAAGTACCAAAATGGGACAGGAAAAAGTAACCTCTTCTCACGACTGGCTAGAACATAATTATTTTTACTTTGGATTTTCCATATATTTATAAGAAACCAGGATCCAATTTCAGAATAGGGATAGTTAGGTTCCTGTGTTATAAGAACCAGATGAAGCTCTGTAGTCTCGAATTTATTATATAGCTTTTTATATCTGAGAAAAGATATATTTTATTCACTCATGCCTCAAAGAAGTTATGAGGATTCACAACTCAAAACTTGTGAAAATACATGGAACAGTGTCAGAGCCGCATCAAGTTCTCTTAATGTTAGCTATTAGTAATACTGTGTTTTTATTTTCAGAACAAGAATTGACTTCTAAACCTTAAGTGGAGACAAGATAGAATAAATGATTTTGAAATTCATTTTTTAGACCTGAAGTTAGAATCACAAAATTGTATTCATACAAGATAGTACAATATCAGCAGTTGTAAGTTAATAGAGCTACATAAAAAGTAAATTTTTAGTAAGAACAATATGTGTAAGTGAATTTAGGAGAATTCAAATCCTGTACATAGTAGTTTTCGTGTGTATTTTTACTGATTTACTTAATAGTTATGTACTGCGGTAGCATGGCTACCGGAATTAGTAAATCTAAGTGTGAAGCTTTTGAAAACGTGACCATGCAGCTTAAACTCATTAAAGAAATGGAAGTCTTCCTCTGTAAGTTCTAGAAACTAGATTTTACTTTTTTTTTTTAATTGTGGACCTTTAAGGTAAACATTTTTATGAAAGATCAAGAAAAAGTCAAAACTAGCCAACTGACCATAGAACTGAGGCAAAGAAGGCAGGGGGGAACGGGAGGGATGAACACAAGAGAATGTGGTGATGGTTCATGGGTGATACAGTGGCTGGAGAAATATGGGGACTATAATAACCTAAGAAAAAAATTAATAAAAAAATTTAGTAAAAAAAGTGATTGGCATGTGGTAGCCACTCAATAAAAGTTTATAAATGAATGAATTAAAAAATATAAACATTTTTAGGATGTATTTGTTATATTCATTAATATTAATAAACTTGCTTTTAGCCTTCTGTAGATTTAGTTTTATCATGGTTATTAATGTAAGGTTTCAACTTTAACACTTTGACCTTAGGTCAGTTTTCTCCACACTGTTTTTTACAGAATACTATTTCTTTAAGAGCTCCCTTACAAATTCTTTTTGTTGGGGATAAGTTTGTACAAAGCTACACTTGTATATTTCTTTTAGAGTACAATCTAAATGACTTGAGAAATTAAAAGTAAATAAACCTGTGTAATTTTGCATATATCAGCCTTTTCCAAATGTCAGTAGTTTCCAGAACCATTTTCCATGTAAGATAAGGAACGTGCCTCATCACTACTTTTAATACATTTTTTTTTCATTATTCATCTGTCAGAGCTTCAGAAATTACTTTTTTTCTAGTGTATGTATGCCTGTTTTTCTTAGTTTCTAACTTGCTGTAAATTTGAATGAACATGAGCATGAAAAAGTAGGCCAAGGGCTGGGTGAGCCCATGAATAAAATACTTAAGCTTATTTAAACAGACTTTTTGTATATATTTCATAGCATAAACTTAGAGCGAATTGTAAAATGCACCATCATAGCTTGTCATCAGACTGCAGCAACTAGTCACTTATGGCCAATGTTATCTTGTCTCTATCCCACCCACTGCAACCCTCCTTGATCCTTATTTTGGAGCTACCCAGTCAGCATATCATTTCATCTATAAACATTTCAGTGTGTCTCAGTTTCAGAGCTTTAACAAAAAAATACATTATCACACCTAAAAATGATTAATATTTCCTAAGTATTACCAAATAACCAGTCAGAGTTTGTATATCCTCAGTTATCTTACACATTTTTTACTAAACACTTTGTTTAAGCATCCTGATAAGGCACACATTTTGAGTAACTTTATTTAATAATATTAGTGAGTGAACTCATAGATTGAAACATTTCATGGCTCTTGATTCATTATTCTCAGTTACTGATTTATTATTCTATCTTTGGCAAGTTACTAGAATATATAAATTTTATCCTCTTGACAGGACCCCTAGCAGACTCTGTGATAGTTTCTTTACTTTCTGGTAAGAAAAGATATTCCAGGTTTATCTTA